TAGCCAGCAGCGGCGGCAGCAGCGGAGCAGCCCAGCGGCAGCGCCAGCAGCGGCCCAGACCCGGCTCGGCCCGGCCACCCATGCAGCTGAGCCAGCCCAGGGCGGCGTCGGGGGCGCGCGTGATGGCGCTGTGGCGGCAGGAGCATGCGCTGTCAGAGGAGAAGGGCGCCCTGGAGGCAGAGGAGCCGGCGGAGGAGGGCGTCATCGGCGTCTCGGTTCCTAAGACCATCGGAAATATGTGTTTTCCAATGGTCTTAGGCAACCCCTGTGAAAGCGTTGTTCGACCCCCAAAAGGGTCGTGACCCACAGGTTGAGAACCGCTGCTCTAGAAGTATCAGAAAAACAAAAAAACAACCGAGTAAAACCAATTCACAAGAAAAAGAGGGAAGAAAAATAGTGTTCATTATTGCCTTATAATTGATTTTTTTGAAGATGAATTCATAATTCAAAACCAGATCTAGTGTTGTATACAAATTTTACAAAATATATACAAAATATGTAATTGAAGATTCTTGTAACTATATGCCCATATAATTGTCCATGAGAAAAAATAAAAAATGATGGCACTATGCTTCAAAATATTGTATCTGATTCTACTAAAACATTAGAAAAGAAATTTAACTTGATCATGTTCCTCTGAAGGAAAATTAATAACTGTATTTTTATATTTGGTAAACTGCTTTACTCTGTTACACATGCTCAATTTCCAACTGGGTCATTATATCTTCAGAAATAAAAATATTCTGATAGAGTGCTTTGGTCACTAGCAGTGGACACTTAATTTATGTCTTCAATATCAGGATCTGAATTTGCTGTGCAATTTGTTTCATTAAGTATTGAAGGAGATCTATATTCTTGGACAGCTAATGGATGACTTTCTAAAACATTATTTTCATTATGATCATTGAAAACTGAAGTGCTGCTTGCATATGAATCAGACTAAATTTTTCTGAGAAACAAGAACGCTATAATTTTGAGATTTTAGACATGTACTCATGCAGAATAATGACAAATGGCATACTGCTTTTTGTTTTTGATACACAGATCCGTTTTTTCTGGAACATATTTTTTTTTCAAATGCAGTTTTGACTTTTGATTTAACTTCTGATTTATTATAAGCATACTGAGTTTTATTAAAAGGCACTGCTGGAGAAGTCAAAATCTCGTAATTATTTCTGGAAACTTCTTTGACACAATATATATATGGATTATTCCCTGTCCAAGTACAATTATTTGAAAAGAAACTTCTAGGTATTGATGACTGCTTTGAAATATTCTGTTTAGTTGTCTGAAAACAATTACTTTCAGAAGACAAATCTGAGGAAAAATGTTTTCCAGTAACAATATTTGGATTAAAACTGATGGCTGTGCTAGTATTAAATAGTAGTAGTAGCAGCAATTTTTGTAAAGAAGGATGAAGAGATTTTCCCATTTATATTTCTCAGGTTGCAAACTTTGCTTTTAGAATTTTCCAGAAAGGAAGTGAACAACACTAACTTTTATTTTTGGAAATATGAAGTAGATGACACTTTCAAGTTGGCATCAAAATTTGAAAAATGCTCCATAACTTCTGTTGAGACTGGTTTTAAAGCCTTTTTTGGTTGTATAGCTATCTGAGATACATTTGGGCATGCAGTGAATGAGAACAGGGTTTTAGAAGGATACATTTCTACAGGAGTTGGCAAAAGATTTTCTGTCTTAAGACATCTATTGGTATTTTTTAACAGGTTGATTTTCTTGGTGTCATTTTTAGTGCCTTTCGGGTCTAATACATCCAAACTACTATTTGAGCCAAAAAATTGAAGTTTGGGGTTTGTGTTTTGAATGCAAAACCAAGGGAATTAGATAAACTACACTTATTGGCACTTTATCTTTATAGTATTTGCGTATTTTGTTTCTTCTGATTATGTGTTTCAACATCTAGGCAAAACAAGCCATTTCCTGAAATTACCTTTTTTGAAAACCAAAATTTTGGCAATGTATTTCTTTCATGTAAATTCTCTGCATATAATTCATCTGAATGTACTTCACGTTTCATGTAATGTATGTAACGCAGCTCCTAAAATAGAAAAGGACACCATACTTATAGCAAATTTCCCAAAATCATCAACTGGTTTTACAATTATTTTCTACCAGCATTTCAGATTTATCTAAAATGTAGCAATGACGTGGCTCAACCAACTTTGGATGATTTTAAAAATGCTTAACAATGCTGAACATTGTTAAGAAACCAGGAAACCCCAAATCTCTAGGCTATATCCTAAGTTGAAAAAAATATTCTGGAAGGTAACAATGCCAAACCACTTTTGTGTTATTGCCCCCCAAAACTACATAGAGTACTCACATAGTCAACAGGAGTCAAAACTAACTTGAAGGATTCTTTATATTACTAAGTTACGTTACTTAAATTTAGTTACACGTTATTAAAAAAACACCCAGAAATAGCGAAGTGAGCAAAGAATAAGGTTATATTATTATTATATAGAGTCAGTCATAGTTTTTCTTTTTTCAAAATGTGATGCAAATAATATGGGCAATATATGTACTTCATATAAAATATGACAGAAATGGGGAGGCTTATAATACAGTGGGCGAATTTGAATAACTTGGCTCTTTCACATGACAACAAATTACCAGCTTCATTTAACAGTGGAAGTTAGTGCAGAAGATATAGCCCAAATTTGGTATTTGTGAGCGATCATATAATCCAGCAATGTGTTAAAGTAGCTTGCCCACCTATTCCAAATTGTCAGCACCAGCCAATTATGTATCAGGTTACCGTTGTAGTTTGACCTCCCAGTATCACCTTTAGATGTAGGTATAAGTTTAACTTTAAAAAAGCTGACTGGCCTAAATTTCAGAGACTGTTGGACAGTGCTGTTACTCAATAGCTAAATCAAGCTAAACTAAAGAGCTGTGGTGGCACAGTGGTTAGAATTCAGTATTGCAATCTAATTCTGCTGACAACCAACTGCCAGCAGTTCGGCAGTTCAAGTCTCACTGATTCAAGGTTGAGACAGCCTTCCACCCTTCCGAGGCCGGTAAAATGAGGACCCAGATTGTTGGAGGCAATATGTTGACTCTGTAAACCACTTAGAGATTGCTGTAAAGCACTGTGACACAGTATATAAGTCTAAGTCCTATTGCTATTACAAGAAATTTGTGGAGGCCATTAAAAAATGTTCCTGGCTATCAATCCTATGGGGTTGTAAAACCAATTATATCCAAGGCAAAGGACAAACCATAGAAGTATCTTGCTCTTTTTGAAGTTGATTCTATGGCAGTGAATGCAGGCCAACAATTAATTATTTCTATAGCTGAAGCTAAGAAAGAAAGCTGGATTAAAACAAGAGGAACTGGACATACACATAAGTAGCCATAAAGCTTGGAGATTGTTGAGTCGTCTGAGTAATGACCCAACTTGCTCTAGAGATTATGCCAACGTGACTCCAGACCGAATAGCCAGTCAGCTTCTTAAGAATGGCAACCCAGATCAAAGGCCACCAAACCAAGATTAATAGAAATCAAAAAAAATCAAAATCAATAGAAATGAGGAAGATGAAACAACTTATCATCCCTCTTTAATTAGGAAAGAACTGAGAGAAGCTATAAGGAAAAGTAGGCCATGGAAAACTGCTCGTTTGGAAGACATCCTTATTGAACAGGTAAAGTAATATGGATGGAAAGTAATACAGTGGCTACTATTTAATGAATGCTTGCAACAATGTAAAATTCCTAGTGTCTTGCGAAAGGTTAAGATTGTAGCAGTTTTAAAACCAGGTAAAGAGGCCACTAACCCTAAGAACTACTGTCCAACTTCTCTCTTGTGCCATACCTACAAAATCTTTGAAAGAATGATACAAAATCACCTCACTGTAGCTCACTTCATACCACAGTAGGCTGGATTGTGCCCTGAAAAAAGTTGTGTCACACAGATCCTGAATTTAACCCAGTATATCAAAGATGGATTTCAAAAGGGCAATGTAACAGGAACTTTATTCATATGATATCATCAATTTTAGAAGACTGAAGCAGAAAGTTTATGATATGACTAAAGATTTTAAAAACAAATATCATCAGGAATCTGCTTCAGAACTGTATATTTTTTGTGAAGTTCCAGGGAAGGCGAAGTAGATGGAGGAACCAAAGGAATGGCTTACCATAGGGTAGTGTATTGGCTCCAATTCTTTTTAATATTTACACAAATGATCAGCCACTTCCTGAAGGTACTAACAATTATATGTATGCTAATGATCGGGCAATGGCTGTACAGGGAGAAACATTTGAGGAGGTTGAACACCATTTAACTGAAGTCCTGGTAGAGATGAACTGATACTATTGGGATAACCACTTAAGATTAAATCCAGCAAAAACTCAGGAATGTGCCTTCCATCTTGGAAATAAGCAGTCTGCTAGGAAGCTGCATATTATATGGAAAGGGAAGTTACTGAAGAATTGCTACAGCCCTAAATATTTAGGGGCCACTCTAGATAAGGCCCTAATATAAAAGCAGCACTGTACCAACACTAAACTGAAGGTCAGTGGATGAAACAACATCCTTAGGACCAAGGGTCCTTAAGACAACAGCTCTGGCTCTTTATTACTTGGTATAAATCAGCACACACTGGGAAAGTAAATGTTGCTCTGAATGAAGCAGAATTATTACCGGATGCCTTAAAACTACTCTCTAGATAAGATCTAGCCAGCACTGCCCTGCAGAGAAGCAGCACATACAGAGAGAGGCTTAAATCATCTATATCTAGGCAACACCTCTCTATATCTTACAACCAGCTCATCAGAGATTAAAATCCAGGAAAAAGGTTGACAAAAGACTTTGAAAAATTTGAAACCAGAGTGGAATTATGGAAAGCAACAAAGAATCAATACTGGATGGAACCAATGGAGGAACTGGCATCTGGGTCTGGTGAAAGCTGGGAAATATGGAAATTGTTGAATAGAATACGCATGAGTATAAGATCCAGAAACCCGCTGAACAAATGGGTGCCGTCTGACCTTTGCGACTGTGGTGACATGCAGACAACACATATGTATACCTGCCCTTGAGTGTACACTTGAGGGCCTTGAGCACGACAGAATGTAATTAATATTGCTAGGTTCTGGGCAAGATTTGTTTAATTTGTACATATTTTAATATTTTATTTTATTTTATATTTTAAATTTTATGTTGTATAATATGCTTTATTTTAATTGTGATGCTTCCGATACAAATAAACAAATGTGCTTCATGATGAAAAGAGAAAAGATATGAATATTTTATTGAAGTCTGTCTCTATTCGTGCAACCACTGCAATTGGGTTAGAAAGGATAGTATCCAGCCAGATATCAGGAGCCTTCAAGTACCCAAGCCACCCAGTTTAAATTTGAATTACAAAGGCATTAAGACTAAACATGTAATCTTACCTCATGACTCATGTTTTGAAATTTAGTAGTTGCTGACACTGACATAAACTGAGTTGGAATATTCTTACCATTTTCCAAAACATCTTTTCCTGGCACTGGCTAAAAAAAGATATTTAAATTAAAAACATTTTGAGAGACCAACTGAAATATCTATTACCATCTACTATATGTGGTAACTTACGTGGAACTTATCTTGTACAATTTTATCTTCCCATTGTTTTTCAGGGCTTGCAGATGTAGAAGGTTCAATATTTCCTGAAGGAATGTCAGCTTTTAAGGTGAAAGGTAAAAAAAAAGTTTATTTTCTTATATATTGATAACTATATTAAATATAGTTTATATAGACTATATTAAATACAATGAAATAGTTTTAGCCATAAATTCCACATTTACAATTAGTGGAGCAACTGAAACATAATTGCAAACAGGAAAAAGTTCCCTATTTATATAAAGAAAAGCTTTTAAAATAAGTATGAATCATTTCAATAGCTGTATCCTCCTACCTTTTGCCATATCCAGGCTAACTTCAGTAAGAGTCAAGGCTGAAATATCCTTAAGTATAGATATGATATCTAACTGTATCTGTTTGCATTCTGGCTGATCTTCATGACCAGAAGCCATCTGCATCAGCTCAAGTTGAGTCTTCATTCTGAACAACAATGACAACAAAAATACAATTAATTATATGAGATTCCCTCTTGCTCTTTTTTTTTAAAAAATGGAGAAACAATATATAAAAAACCTCTATAAACGTAGAACACAATACAAATAAAATGTTTAATTAAAGAAACATATTTGTGTTAAGCACAACTGAACTAAGTGAAATAAAAGAACTGTAAGTGAAAAAACAAGTTGATTTTTATGGAGTTACTATCAGAAAAAACGACAGAAAACTAATTTAAAAAATCCTGGAATTAATAAACAGCTCAAGGAATAGGAAAAACAACACCCAGAAAACCAAAAGATGAGGAGAAATTATTGAAAGAAGGTAAGTGGTAAGTAGGTTTGTGATCAACTAGAATTTTCATAAAATTACTTATTTTTAACAGGGATTTGTTTACCCGATTGGTAACTGTACCAATCTAATTTTAAACTATTTTTATTAAATATGTAGCTAATGTTACCATTTCACACAAGAAAGCAAATTTCTTGACTTAAGAACATAAATCATACTCAGAATTTGACCAGTTATGGAAGCTTGTTATTTGACTTTTTTCAGAATAAAATTCTAATTCAATATCCCTTAATATTTGTCTATAAAGATATACTTAAGACAAAAGATTACACTTTTACATGCCTCAAAACAGCAAGTTCCAATATTGAACTCATCACTATTCTACATGAACTTGATAAGCATAATTTTTTTTCCAAACTGTTTCATTTAATATAGTCAGAAATGTTTACACAAATCAGCACATAAAAATCTGATAATGAAAGCCAAATAGTAAAATATCTGGTGATTGTTTTTTTTTTAAATCACAAAATCATTTTCTTCTATTGAAAGTAATTACATACAATTAGGTTTATGCAAAAGGTGTCAATGCTGCTAACATTGGATGTTCTTGCTTTGACAATATATGGAGATGCAGTATTTTTCTTTGTTATGCTTAACTCTTAGAATTAGATGATACTGGGGGAGGAGGAGGAATGTGATGGGAATTAGTTAGACATAACAATATTGTAATAGTGTGTGAATTCAGGCTTTTGAAATAAGAGATGATAAGAAATGGCGGGATGGAATAATGGGGGGAAAGTCTGCATTTCAAACTAATCGGAGAATGTGATTTATGACTGTAAATTAGAGGAGGGAATTGTGCTTTGATACTATGTGTTCAGGGGAGGGGATTTCAGATTTTGGCTTCAACTATGTTAGTGCCGAAGCTATGCTACTCCAATAAAGATTCTTTAAGGTAAACAATGCCTCGAAGTTCTTTGAAGAGTTTCATCTGTCAGAACCATGACAAAAGGTACCTTTCACACCTAAAATATTTCCAAGATTTTACAATTACCTAATGTACATAATGCTAAATCAACTTTAATTTCTTACCTTTGGTTCAAATTGCATGCAACCTGTGAATTAAGAAAAATGAAAATTAAGTTCTTTCAATTATTACACATTACAACCCACCATATTATTACAATATTTTTCAGAAATTAGATAATTAACCAATAGTCTATACCAGGGGTGTTAAACTGCCGGCCCGCGGGCGGGATGAGTCACCAGGAAACCACGCCCATCCCATTGCCAGCAATGGGGGGAAAGCTCCAATACGTCACACGACGTCACATGACATCGCAAGTTTCACATGTCTGGTCTATACTGATTAATTCAACATGTAAAATCAAGAAAAAAATTGAACATTTGATATACTGTTTGAAATGAAGGCATTAGGATCATTTTGGGAATCTATTCAATGAAGTCCTCAAATATTTTGTTTCTAATTCTACCATCCAAAAGTTTGTATACTGAACTGTAGCAAGAATCATGTCAGTTTGCATGTCTGAGTATTCAATTCCCAATCATTCCTCCAACTAACTGAAACTATGTTGCACATTTTATGCAGGACTAAAAAATTAGTGAGGACCTTTTAGACCACGGGTCCCCAACCTGCAGTCTGCAGCCCACTAGCGGGCTGTGGCCTACTGGCTGGCCAGTGCGTGCACATGTGAGCGCACACTCACCCCCCCACTTGTGCTAGCGCCACTGGCGCTATGCAAACTGCAGAGTGAAAATAGGGTGCCACTGCTATGCAAAAAGATGGCGTACAGTGCGAAAACTGGGCGGCATGCAGTACGAAAATAGGGGAAAACCAGGCATTGGGTGGCACAAAAACCGGGCACTGCCCAGCGCAAAACTGGGGGGAAAACCAGGCGGTGCATGGCGCGAAAACCAGGCGGCGTGCAGCATGAAAACCGGGTGGTGCACGGCGCGGAAACAGGAGGAAACCAGGCGGTGCACAGCATGAAAACAGGCAGTGTCAAAATTAGGCAACGCGCAGCGCAAAAACCAGGCAACGGGCAGCACGAAAACCGGGTGGCATGTGGCGCAAAAACTGGGCAGCGCGCGATGCAAAAATGAAGCAAAACCGGCATGGTGCAAGTGTCATATGGGTGCTAGCCCCGCCCTGTTTGCGTCGCACATGCTCGCAGCCCCGTTTGTGCGTGCGTGCATGCTTAAAATGCTTCTCTCCTTCTTTCTCTCCGGTCCACCAACCAAGAAAGGTTGGAGACCTCTGTTTTAAACCATGGAAAATTATTTTCATTCTGTGTCATTTTATGTGTCAATTTATCTCATTTCTTACTTTCCATTAAGATTTATTTGGAATTAATATTCTGATATTTAATCTTGCTTTGTTTTATTAGCTGTATTTTATTATTTGATAGGTCTAATATTTTATGCATTGTTTTCTACACCAATTTTACTAAAATTAGTCCCTCTGGATATCTTGAAAGGAAAGGAAATGTTTCAAGATGAATACTCAGTGTCAGTAAATCTTGTAACAGAAGTCATGTGAATGCCCCCCATTTCTCTCAGAGTACATATTTAGTTTTGCTTTATGAAGGCATCTCTGAATCCACTATCTAAACACTGAGTGGGCGTCTTGAAAGCTTATTATGGCTCAACCGCTTAGATAATTTACTCAAATTGTCTAAGCATGCATGCACAATATAAAATATACTTTCATTGGGATTGCCCCAGTGCACATTTAAGTACTTTAAGTGCGCTCAGTCCTAGTATGTACTTATAATCAGAAATATCTATTTTTCTGCCTACATACATTCTATAACTTCAAAGGACCTTGTATGTCTCATTAGTTTGGTTAAGGCATCAGAGTAATTTTCTGTTGGATCCAGGATGAAGAAATACATATCCAGAGAAATGTGGTTTGTTCCCTCTCTTTCAAACATATTGTTAAGATATTTTCATTTTATCTATCTTAAATAAAGACTATATTTATCATTTATTTCCTGCCTAATTATTTTATTGCATGGAACTAGATTCATTAGGTTCAACTCATAAAAAGAAATGCATTTTTGAATTTATACAGAAATATGGCTCTTACAGTTTAAAATATTATATTTTTTTTCTGTCCTAAGTCAACTTCTATGAGAGGAAAAGACAAAATGAAAAAAACAACAATGGACAGAGTATAAGCATCTGTTGGTATAATCCAGTGATGGCGAACCTTTTAGAGACTGAGTGCCCAAACTGCAACCCAAAACCCACTTATTTATCGCCGGGTGCCAGGTGGGCATGGCCCACTGGGTGGACATGGCTGTGGTGGTCATGGCAGATTGGGTGGGTGTGGCCAAGGTGGGCGTGATCACCTCAATGTTGCTCATGGGGAGGGACACCTGTGGGGGCCAGGCAGGGTTGGGGGAGATCCAGAGGATCTCTGGCAGGTGGGGCGGTGGGCAGGAGGCTTGTGCTGCGGGGTGCGGCGAGGCAGGACAGCAGTGCCATTGTCACAGGGCAAGGTGAGGCAGGGGCCGGGGAGGCTGCTGCCTGACATCATCAGCCCCTGCACACAGAGGCCAGTGAGCGCATGGGTACTGGGATACATCCGGCTATGTGGGACCTCGGCAAGTTAGCGGACAGCTGGTTGAAGAGGGATGGTTGCCATCTCCAGGGCATGGCGTGCGTGCCCACAGAGAGGGTTCTGAGTGCCACCTCTGGCACACGTGCCATAGGTTCGCCACCACTGGTATAATCACTTTGGATCATGAATCTACCTGAACAAATACAATTAAAATATTGAAGTACAGAACTCAAAAGTAAAGTGAAACATCAACAAATGATAATATTAGGAAATATAAAATAGTTTAGCTATTGTTTAGCATATGCCCAAAATTATATTTAAAATATATTAATTACCATTTTAAACAATATTGGACAAACAACAAATCACTTTATAGCAAATCCAAAACTAAATGTGTTTACCTCTAAGAAATGCTGTGGATCACATTCATCTAAAAGGTTTTCACAGTCAATCAGAATATTTTCAATTGTTTTTCGGTGAGCTTCTTTCATATTCTTCCATATAAGATGCTCTTTCTCCTTTCTTTTCTTCTGGCTTTCAAGGCTTTTAAGCAACTCCTTCTTTCTAGTTGCCAAAGCATTATAGAGTTTTTCAAATTCAGTTTCAATCAATTCTTCTTCATTCTGCATTACGGCCTAGAGGAGCAGTGACAAAAACAAAATGTATAAGCACTGAAATATTCCTATCAATGCAGAAGTCAAAATACCAGAAAGCAGTTCAAAGCATAAGTATTTTTTTGTGGGTGGGATGGGCACACACATATGCATGCTTTCAAGTCAGTGTTGACTTCTGGCAACTGACTTCCAAACCCATCCACCCCCAAATGTTAAGTCTGCATGTCTGAGGTGGGGAATCTCTTTCGACTCTGCGATTGCAATTTCTTTTTGAAACCAGTCTAGGGGAAGAGGGTCACAAGAGACAAATTGATATACTATCACTGTGGTGAGGGAACTTTGCAGATATTTAAGATGTTTTAATTTGTACATTATCCCCTACTCCACCATCACTACTCATAAGGGCTATGCCAGATTTTTAAAAGGTAAATCATTTGCTTTAATTCTATGCAAGGCTCTCAGCACTCACCTCTACCTACCTAAAATATGCAAAACATGCCAAAAGTTGGAACATTTCAAATCCTTCAGAGGTTTTGAGACTGAAAGCAGGCCCCAGATTTCGTACTTTATTCTGTCACTAGGTTACAACTATGACCAAAATTAAATGCTGAAGCACTCTATTAGAATTACTATATTTTTACACTATCATAAAAGCCCAGTCCAGCACAATGCCACTGAAAAAGAAAGTCAAGAAGAAACCAACATGGTTGCACAAAGATCTCTCAGACAAACTGAAAGACAAAAAGGACAAGAACAAAAAATGGAAAGAGGGACACATAACTAAGGCTGATTATCAGCAAACAGCCAGAATATGCAAAGACAAAGTCAGGAAAGCAAAGGCTCAGAATGCACAAAGACTTGCAACAGAAATCAAGGATAATAAAAAAAAGTTTCTTTCAACATATTAATAACAAGAAAAAAAGTCAAGGAAATTGTAGGTCCACTAAAGAGAGAAAATGGCAAGTAACAGGCATTAGGGAGAAAGCAGAGCTGCTTAACTCATTCTTTGCATCAGTCTTCACAGAAAAAAAATATAGCCCAACATACCAAAAAAAACTACTGCAAAAGACAAACTAGAAATAAAAATTAAAATAAGCAAGAAAATGGTAAGAGAACACCTATCCGACCTTGATGAATATAAATCACCAGGACCCGACAGATTACATCCCAGAGTTCTGAAGGAGCTGGCAGATGTTATCTCAGAACCATTGTGCCATATCTTTCAAAAATCCTGGAGCACTGGGGAAGTACCTGATGATTGGAAAAGGGCTGATGTGGTTCCCATCTTCAAGAAAGGGAAAAGAAATAGACCCAGGAAACTACAGACCAGTTAGTCTAACATCAATACCTGGGAAGATCTTGGAAAAGATAATCAAAAAACATATCTGCGAACAACTAGTAGCAAACAAAGTTATAACCAGTAGCCAACACGGGGTTGTCAAAAACAGATCATGCCAAACCAATCTTATTTCATTATTTAATAAAGTGACCAAATTAGTAGACCAGCAAAACGCTGTGAATATAGTATACTTTGATTTCAGTAAGGCATTTGACAAAGTAGACCACAATCTACTGCTTGGTAAGCTAGAAGGTGGAATAAACAACATCACCACCAGATGGATTTGTAGCTGGATGACAAATCGTACGCAACGTGTCCTCAATGGTCCACATGGATGGAAGTAAGCAGTGGGTACCACAAGGCTCCATCTTAGGTCCAGTACTCTTCAATATCTTCATTAATGAGTTATATGAGGGAATAGAAGGGGAACTCATCAAATTTGCAGATGACACTAAACTGGCAGGAATAGCCAACACCCCAGAAGACAAGCTCAGGATCCAAAAAGATCTTGACAAACTTGAACAATGGGCCCTATCCAAAAAAATAATGCTTCTCTTCAGATGCAAATGAACATTTTTAAAGGACATGAGACCTCTAGAGAAACAGGGTAGGATCAGAGCTTTTTAAAGAATGAGAAAGGGGCAATTCAGATTCTGCTATGATAAATTAATGTTTGCATCTGATACCCACTGCTGTCAGGTTCCTATCTTACCTGCAAGCTCCAATGGTATGATTTTCTATGCATGATGGCCCATGTTCCATCTGTGTCTAAATCTACTATTACTTCTTAAAAAATATCTAAAAATGCTGCTATAGGCGCAAGTAATCTTTGCTTTGATTACACAGCTTTCTTTTATGTAGTCCTCCTTTGCCTTGATCCTGTCTACCAGCTTCACCACTAAAATAATTCTTTCTGTTTTGAATATGCTATTCCTCTTTAATTTCATGCAATAACTTCTAATGCAGTTATGAATCCTGTATACATTTCTTATCCTTACTCCCAAAACGTAACTAGTCATTCCCTTTTATCTTTCCATTTGTACTGCAATGTATCATTTTCCTATTATCATTTGACGCTTCACTCTCTGTTATCTAATGGCTTCCATATATTTTCCTTTTTTCTCCTCAAACAATATTCAGCTACAACTAAATAACACATCTATTCTGTATTTATGTCTGATCTAAACTTGTTTTAATTGATATGGAGCTTACAAGTGGGTTTTTAAGTTGTAAATGCTTTGGATAAGAAAATCTGTCAAATTTATTTTTTGTAAAATATTGTATACAGGTAGTCCTCAATTTACAACCACAATTGAACCCAGAACTTATGTTACTAAATGAAAAATTTGTTAAGTGAGTTTTGCTCCATTTTACAACTTTTCTTGCCACAGTTGTTAAGTGAATCAGTGCAGTTGGTAAATTAGTAACATGGTTGCTAAGTGAATCTGGCTTCCCCACTGATTTTGCTTGTCAGGTCTCAAAGGGTGATCAGATGACTCCTGGACACTACAACCATCATAAATATGAGTCAGTTGCCAAGCATCTGAATTTTGATCACATGACCATGGGGATGCTGTGATGGTCGTAAGTGTGAAAAATGGTCATAAGTCACTTTTTTCAGTGACATTGTAACTTTGAACGGTCACTAAACGAACTGTTGTAAGTCGAGGACTACCTGTATACAATGATAAGATGTGCTTATGACAGAATTGTATATATGCACAAACATAATCCATTTGGTGAAATATTTTTTCTCAGCTGATTCTCAACTTATTAATTCAGTTTACCTTTTCATCCTTTGGAGATATTGATATTTCATTCAACATTTTCAGTTGCAATTCTCTTATTTTCTTCAGGTTACTAAAGAAGGCTAGCTGTAGAAAAGGTAGTTTTAAAAGTTAAACCAATTTGAGATGCACAAAACTTTGTTTAAACATCATTTCTAATTATTTCAAACATTTTGAATAATTTTGCTCAAACTAAAAAATATCAGCAAAAATGTTTTCACATCTTAATGTTGATATTATTGCTTAGCTAATACAGAATAGTTTCCAAAAATATATTGAGAAATAGGAGTCTATTTCCTAATGTTACTGTTATTTCTTAGAATTTGGCTTACAAGTTACAATTTTAATTAAGGTCCTCAGATATACATTACACTGAGATCAACAGGTTTGGTACCAGTAAATAAGAATTAATGAGCTAAAAGAAAAGGGGAAAGACCAAATTGATGAACTCACTATTTACATTTTATCCCAATTTTCTTTTGCTTATTTATTTTGTACCTTTCAGTAAGCCCATGAAGCTTTTTTGGAAATATTTTCAAAAGGCATGGCTAGAACTCATGGTCTCCCATGCCTTAACCCAGAGGTGTCAAACTCAATTTCATTGAGGGCTGCATCAGCATTATGGTTGCCCTCAAAGGGCCAGTTGTTGTCTCCTTCTCTCCCTCAGGCTTGCCCCACAGAAGCCTCTCCTATCCCCTTCTCTCCCTCAGGCTTGCCCCACCGACATCTCTCCTCACCTATAGCCTTCTCTCTCCCCTCACTCCTCCTCCTTCCCGCCAAATCCCCTCCTCTTATATCCTCTCCTTCCCCCCCCCCGCCCCATTCATTCACTCACTCCCAGCTGGCCTTTTCACGCACTGCTCATCAGCTGGAGCTCCGTGCACTGATTCTGGATTCCTCATCAAGCCCTGGCAGCCCTGCAGCTGACTCTTCCCCAGAAGACTGCATGTGGCTGCCAGCCACCCGAGGCTTCCAGAAGACCCAATCAGCTGGAGCCACACACCGATCCACGGGGTCTCAGCAGAGCCCCAACAACAATGCAGCTCCAGCTGACTCTCCCCAGGCCTCTCTAGTGTTGCCCCTGCTTCAGCTCACTCCCCCCGCAGCTACATACTCAATCACGGGCCAGATCTAAACACATCACGGGCCGGATCTGGTCCAAGGGCCTTGAGTTTGACATGTCTGCATTAACCACTTCACCAAACCAGCACTTTTCTTATACTTTTTATTTTTAGTGCTGCAAATCATACTTAGTATAGGAATAAATAGAAAGATGGGCTAAAATACGTAACAAAAATAGTAGACAAGATGGCAATCAAACAAGATCCAATTAATTGTTAGTAAATGATATACAGAGAATTTTGTTTAAATTTTCACTTCCCAGTTTGATAATTTGCTGCTTAGTTTTTGCTCTTCTACTGCACACCAGTAATTCATCAGCAGTCAAATACTTCTAGGAGCAATTTACTTGAAAGGTAATATCCTTATATGGATCTATCATTCTCTCAATGTTTTGCTATCTATCTATCCATCCATCCATCCACTATCACTGCTTAAAATCTGGTGATCCATATCTTTTAGGTATTCCTATCTTTGTGTAAAACTTACATAAATTTATATGATTGAATACTGGATCATCTCAAATTAAGTTACTGCTATGTTTGCACAAGCATTTTACTGTATTTTATATAGTTTATGTAATTATGCACACATTACATTCTAATACACTAAATCAAACTGTAAACAGATTACACAATTACACAGACCACAATTGGGGCCAAAATTTCTGCTGCTAAGTAAGGGGGTTGTTAAGTGAATTTTGCCTCATTTTATGACTTCTTTTGCCATAGTTGTTAAGCAAATCATTGCAGTAGTTAAGTGGCTCTGGCTTCCTTGATCACAGGCTACTGCAACTATCATAAATACATGTCTGTTGCCAGTGTCCTAATTTAGATCATGTGGCCATGGGGATGCTGCAATGGTTGTTAAATGCAACAATCAGTCATAAGTCATTTCAGTGCCATTGTAATTTTGAACAGTTGCTAAACAAATGGTTCTGAGTATACCTGTAGTAGCAAAAAAAAAAAATTCTACAAAACCCTATCTTTATTCTAGAATGTTTTCTTATGGTATTGGATTTGTGTTTGTAAAAGCTTCATCTACTTCTCAACAGCTTTTATTGATTCATGTGTGGAGTGTCCTAGGATCACAGAGAACTCTATTCTCTTTTATCAGTTTTCCCTGTATCTGATTCTCTTCAAATGGGTTGGGCCTTAGAGAGGCCTTTTTAACACTTGTGGAAAACATCTTAGATACTTAGATACTCCTACAATTGCGTGTACGTTGGTGTCTCTTGGGAGGCCCACGTCACTTTTCCAGGGTCACTCCCTTCCCTTCCCTCCACATCACGCCACAAGCGCGTACTTTTTCCTCCTGGTACACCGTGTCGATGAGGTTGACTGAATGGAAGACGCCGCGATGGTCTTCCGACACGCACTGCCCGCAGCCTCCAGAGCGGCACATCCGGCAGTAGAGCTGCAATGGTTGCCCTTGGTGTTTCTTGCAGATCCCACCCAGAGCAGCCAGTTGAGGAACCAGAGCTGACGAGTCCACCTCCGCTATCGCTTCCAGGCTAGGCTTCGTCGCCGAGCTGGAGCTGGCAGCCCTGAACAGTTTCACTACCTCGGCTAGCGTGGTGTTGACAGGTAATGCAGAAGCCCCGCGGTCGGAAGGAAGCGAGCAGAGTTTGCGGCACAGCGGGCATGACAGAATAATCGAGCCTCCGTCCCGTGACGGGCGACCGGGAACCCGTGGACTCTGCTGGAGCGAGTCACGGCTTCGAGGAGAGGGCCTCGATGCGGAGGAAGAGGGCAATGCGACGCTTGCAGCTTGGCTGAGATACTCGACGACGCAATGGCGGCAGAAGTTGTGAGAGCAGACGGGCAGCGTGACCGGATCCTCGAAGACCGACAGACACACCGCACACGTCAGGCTGGCCTCCATTTGCACATGCGTTGCAGAGACCCAGCAAATAAGGGTCGAGAGGGATGTTTGGAGTTCTAAACAGTATTTAGGAGAAAAGGATTTTCCCCTGACTCTACTCACGCTTCCGCCAATAAATAAGCGCCCAGCTTTCCTCTATTTGTCATTTACTGAGAACTGCCATTCTCAGACCACGTCCCGCCTCCTTATCCCAGTAAAGAGCCAATTAAGAAGAAAATGAAACCGTTAGCGTTCAAAGTCCTTTCTCCCCACCTCTTAATATCATTCCAACGGTTAATTAATTCAGATTGGCAGTATTCTCCGCCAATGACGTTGCAGGCTATCCTGTCATCCAAACGGAAGGCAGAAATGACTCGGAAAGACATAGTACGTCCTGGAGAATATAGCTTGAGCGATCTGTTTTTGATAGCGTCTATGAAAACGGATCGATTATATTTTTGTGACTTAAAAAACTGCGTTCTTCATGAGGTATTAAATAGCTGCAGCCAACTCGGGATGCTGTGCAATCCTCTCCATGTGCTTTCATTAATAAGCCCTATGAAATATGCTGATGTGTATAGGATTGCTGTTTCGAAATATCTTATGTTTTGCTTGTTATGTTACCACTTGAGTACGAAATAGTTAGAATTTTATCTGTTACTGGAAATAAAAGTTACCTGTCTTTTTAAAAACCGTGTCAGTGTATGTTGCTCGAATTAAATTGAAGTGTTGAAAGAAAAATCATCAGGGCCCAGTCCAAGCCGGGAATAAACAAAGTGGAGACTGCTTTAGGAAAGAAGGTTCTTGTTTATTGAGTTGCAGAACCAGACAGAAATATGGCTCTGGGGTAGCTGACCACATGGTGCTGGGAGTGGTGGGTTTTTATACCTTCTTGGGCTGTTGTGTTTGGTGTTGTTCTTGTGGCATGAACTTTGACCTGAGGTTCAGTGCGTCCTTTTTGTATTCTGATGGTGGTGGGTTAATCCTGTTATGTCCTAAAGGTCATGTCCTGCTTCCCTGTGGCTGATGGCTATGTCCTGTGTTGGATTTTTGGGTGAGGGGTTGCTGGTTCTAGGGGTTTTTGTCTTTCTAATCCCGTCAGCTCCAAGCTTCCTGGCTCCAGTCTTCCTGAAAGGATTATCAAATCTGCATTTCTACAGAGCTGGTATCTGCTTGGGGTAGAGAGACTTGGGGGGAGGGGTTCTGCCTTTTCTCTATTATGCCTTTGGGAAAATATAATATTCTGCCTTTTTAATATTCCCTAAAATATTTATTTCTCTGGGGGGTGCTGTCTTCCTACAGAAGTATTACAGATTTATAATAAAGAGGCATTACAAGAAGAGATATCAGTGCTTATTTCCATATATTAATTTCAAAAGGAACCAGCAGTCTCTTTTGTTCTTTATTTCTTCTTTCAACCAGTGGCCTGTCAGATGGGCTATTTTTGAACAGAGATTTACTAGTCTTACAGAAGATAGGTGGATAGTTCTATAGTGTTTTTCTTCATTTACATTAGAGGGGGAAAGGGAATTCTTGAAAGTTCACACCATCTTTTTTAACATTTAGAATTTGTAAGCATTGCAAGAAAATGCTAGCCTAGTGGCTACAGCACTTAGAAATATCTCATGGGGTACATAAATGGTATTGGAGTAGGCAAAATGCACTGAATTCTTGTGGAAAACGGACTCTTACGAATTCCAGAGGGTTTTAGCAGAGAGGTTTATTGCGCAGGTTCAGAAGCAATAGCAACAAGCAATTCTGAACCCTGAGGGCGGGTTCAGACTTCAGTTTTATACTTCCTTTTCTCAGGAACAAAGGAATACACATTGAAGTACACATTGTAATACATTAGGTTCGTTTCTCACGGGTATACAATGGAGGGTTTGCTACATACATTGTATCCAGGCGCAATGCGCATTAGGTTAGTCACATACTGACACAGCACTATTCTAGTATTTGTTCATTATTCCATCTTATTCCCCCCTTTGAAAGTTTTCTTGCTTAAACTTTCATCATTCGTCCTCCAATTCAGGATCTTTAGAGGGCAACATTTTATATTCCCATAAAGCTAATATTGTTTCATGTTTTGCAGTTAATTGGGCTGTATTTTCTGAGATTCTTCGAATCATGGCCACAACACAGGGGAGTAAGCAGGGAATCAAAATACATCCTAGAATTAACAAGGCTGCTATAACTATGATGGTTTGTAGGCCTGGTAACTTTGGCCACCATCCTGAAAATACGTTTTCCAAATTAAATCCTGTCCAGGTTTGCACCGGAACATGAGCTAGTTTGACCATTCCGTCTGTTATGTCTTTCAACACTTTTCCACTTTCATCTATTTCTATGCAACAGTTTGTTAGGTTGAATTTTCCACATACCCCTCCTTCTTTGGCCAACAGATAATCCAAGGCTAACCTATTTTGCATAATATATGTCCTGGATTTCACATTTTCTTTGGCCAATTCAGTTAGTCCTTTCACAGTCTCATTAGTAATTAACTCTACCACCGCTTGTAACCTAATGAACCTGTTGAGCATATAAATAGATTCCATCCTCAGCCCAAGTAGCTGGGCCGTAAGCTTGGATAATGCGGCAAGGTGGCCATTCATATTCTCGCCAAGTGACTCCTGCGCATTGGGAGAGTGCATTTAGTTCCCTTCTTTGTCTGACATTGCCAACTTCCTCATAGATGGGAACACCAAGAATTTGCTTAGTTTTTAATTGTAACAGGAAAAATCCTGGTCGAATTATTCCCAATATACAAGATCCACACCAGTTCTTAGGTAGTTGTCCGTATGCCATTTTTCCGCAAATCCAGTACATTCCATCTGGGGCTAGCCAAGGGAGACTGGTATTTGTGGGGTCTTTTAGATATGGTATCCCAGATACGTTAGTAAGGGCATAATGATCCAGAGTAGTGGTTTCGTTGGTTCCAGACCACCATTTACCGTTCTCCCAAATCCCTGTGCATAGGAGGTTACCTACTGCTACGCAAGATTCTGTTTTGTTCCTTAAGTAGCATACATGTCCTACCAGGTTGGAAGTGAGAGTCCAATCGCCATTTTTCCCGCTCGTATAGGTTAAACTATTATTCTCAGACATTTCTAGTACCTTGGTATAATTTAACTCTTGTGCCTCCCATGGCCATTTTTCTCCCATATTTGTTCCACCACACACAAAACAATTGGACACGTTTAAAGTATGGGCAATATCTTTGGCTAACTTAACAAAGGTATTGGTTACATGTCTAGGTATTTCAGGAATATTTAGTTTCTCCATCTCCTCATAATATGACCAAAATAATGATTTTTGTTCTGATCTTTTGGTTGCAGTTATAATTTTGATTTCTACCTCTGATATTGGGTCGTAGCCGTTGGCATCTATTCCTATCCCAAACATCCAATTTTCTCTTTCCCATTTATTTTGTTCCAGGAACCAACTGCCATTCTTGACTGTAAGAGTCACCAAATTACAGTTATCTCTTCCACAGGAGTCTGCTGTTGTATTATTCTTTTCAAACAAGATGTGCTCCATTTCCTTTGGGTCTTGGGTATGCCACTTAATACATGACCACCACTTACATTTGACCGTGGAGACTGCACACCCATCCGGTGGGCACAAATACTTATGGTTTGGGATGTAGCTGTGGATTCGACTGATCCCTCTTCAACCATTTATTGCGGCCCAATAATTAGCTGCCTTACAAACATCAAAGGTTACGCTAAAACTGGAGTGTGGGTTGGATTTCCATTGAGAGATCCCTAATAGTGCCTGGTCCCTAACGCTCCTTTTTTTTTTTTTCAAGTATAAATTTTTATTATTTTTCATCATAAAAAAAAACACATCACAAGTACATCACAATGCTATAATAAAAGCCCCACCCCCCACCCCCCACCCCCCGGACTTCCCAAACCTAATCCCAGGATACTATTCAACTAAAAGTAAACTACTATTAATATCCCTAACTCCACAAAATATTATTCTACATAAGTAGGTGAAATACGTAAAAAAAAAACAAGTTATCTAAAAACCTAAATTATATTCCACCATTCTATGCTTTTTTTGAATATAAACAATCCATCTTCTCCATATTAATAAAAATTGTTCATTTGAATGATTCTTCAGATAAGCCGAAATTTTTGCCATTTCAGCAAGATGCGAAACCTTCAATCTCCAGTCCTCCATTGTAGGTAAAACTTTACT